GAGGAGTCAGTAAGGAGCCCCCTGACAGACTGCCCACCCTTTCCATCTCTGACAAAAGTTATCAGCAGTCCTCATCTCTGAGCATTTCCACTCAAGCACTTGGCACCTCCCATCCATTATCCAGTCTGTGCCACAGAGCTACGGACAGAAACTGAAGAACATGTTTTATTTGGATCGCTTCATCCTCCAAGTCTGGCAGCTGATCTAGGAGCTGTGTCAGATAAGCAACACCTAACCCTGCCTCATTACTTGGGATCCACATACACATGCTGCCTCTAAAAACTGCGGCAGACCGATTCACACAATGGCTGATGCTTCCAGGTACCCTGCAGAGCTGCCCTTTCAGTTTAGCGCACAAAAAAAGGGGCACAAACAACACCCACGCTCAAACACAGTGACTACTGCCCCAGTAAAAATCCATGATTTAAGCAGTGATCAAGATCTCCTCCCACACAGTGACCTGCCCCAGCCCTTCCACAGTGAAGCATCGTCCCCACACTTGCCAGGAAACTCTCGGGATACAAAAATAAAGAGGAACTTTACCTTTTGCTGAAACCAGCGCATGGCTTCTTCCTTTCCAATTCTGTGCTTGGCCCCAATGTTGCCAGTCCTGCGTTTCTTGTCAGCAATGCTGAAGCCAGGCCTGCCCAGCACCTGCCAGGAGAGGAGACCCACAGCACTATTTCATTCTGACATTTATTTGTTTTCTTAAACTTTACAGTTTTCTAGGAGGGAAGGCTAGAATTCCCACATCAGTAACATCTCAGTGTCTGAAATTATGTTCAAGAGTGAGAGCATTATCTTCTACAGCCTCGATGTAAACTGAAAACTAAGTTCACTTCTGAGCAGCCAGGAAAATGACAGGGACAGCTCCTAGGTGGGACAACTTAGGACATCCACTGACTCACAGAAACCAAAATGAGTGTGCAAGACACATTATTCCATACCCAGAGGCCTCAGCTCTCAAGAAAGGATACACTGAACAGCACTGTTAGCACACATGGAACAGCTGACCCTATTTCAGAGATTTAGCATGAGGTACAGCGGAATGGAACCACTTGAACACACCAGCCACCACCGCTGCTGTCGCCTCGGCCCTCTGAACGCAGGGACACGCAGCTCATCTTCCTGTCTGCACTCCTGAAGCCCCTGCTGCGCCTTCCACTGCTGCTCCTTCCCTCCCCAAACCTCGCAGCGCCATTTCAGTGTTATCCCAGGAGTACCAGTAAAAGCCACAGTATTTGTTTCTGAAGAGGCTTTGTAAGACATGTCATAGATCAAGGATTTTACAGCAGCCCTGGGAACCTCAGTTTAGACTTGGATTTTGTTGACATTTTTCCATCTTCCAGAACTGGGCAGCAAGTTACTGTCAGCCCGTTACTGTTTTAGGTTCCTTCTCGATCTTTCGCAAAAGCCCAGCAGCTGCAAGGAAGCAGGGAATACGCACCACGTAAAAGTCCAAGCCGTAGATACCAATACTGGGATCATATTTAATCCCCAGATCGATGTGCTCCTGGATTCCAAAGCCAAAGTTCCCAGTGTCTGAGAAGTTGTTTTTTCTCAACTCGTATTCTCGCACCTGAAACATTTGTCGTCATTATTGACCGCAGAGTGAGAAGTCCCACGTGTTCCACCGGCTACCAGCCCCCCAACTGCCTTACATGCAAGACGAAGTCTTTACCCCTAGGAGGTGGCTTCCCCAGCCTGCTCATAAATGTCAGCAACAAAGACAGAACCTCAACAGAACGCAGCAACTGCACCCACGAGCTCTTAAATAAGGATGAAGCAGCAACCAGACAGAGCAACAGTGCAAATGCAGCAGCCTGTGTGTCAAAGCTGCTCCCCCTGCCCTTGACATCCATGACCAACCTGTAACTACATCAGGCGCAACATTTCCAAGCACGTGTCTTTTCAGCTGGTACAGATTAAGTTTTGTTCTTTTCCAAATCAAAGATCCAAACCAGCCAAATTCTCACCTTCAACCCCTTCTCCAGAATCTCCTCTGCTTTGGCCCCGCGCACCGTGCAATGAACAGCAATCTTCTCATTTCTCCTGATTCCAAAGGATCTTACAGTGTATCGTGCTGTAGGCAGCAATAATGACACTCAGAGGCTAATCCAATGATTCCCACCCAGGGGATTGAGAGCTTGCTTAAGAAAACCAAAAAAATTAAAGGCAAGATAAAAGAACCGAGGCAACCAGACGTTCCCTCTTTGGGGACGAGGGCAGAGCAGCAGCCCAACTCTGGAAGCAGGACTGACCTGACAGAACCGACCACCCGCCCCTGAATACTGCAGGCGCCCCGCAATTCTCACAACATGAGCAGACCTCCCCACGCTAGCTCTGCCAAAGAGCTTCTTCCCTGGGAGCCACACCGCCACTTCACCCTCTTCATGCTCACCAGAGGAAGGAAAACAACCCCCGCTGAAGCCAGAAAACACCCCGCTCCTTTGCGGCCCCCAGCACAGGCAGCCCTCCTTGGCCGCCGCCAGGAAAACCCGCCCCTCACCTTTGGAGAAGACGGGGGTCTGGCCCGTCAGCTGCTCCAGCACTTTGGCCGCTCGGGTGAGCCTGTCCCCGCTCTCCCCAACGCAGATGTTGAGGCAGAGCTTGCGGATGCGCAGCTCTCGCATGGGGTTCTCCTTTTCACCCTGGTCTTGCTGCGGAGAAACGACACCGGGGCTAACGCGGGGGGCGACCAGGAAAGAGCTTTGGAGAAGACGGGGGTCTGGCCCGTCAGCTGCTCCAGCACTTTGGCCGCTCGGGTGAGCCTGTCCCCGCTCTCCCCAACGCAGATGTTGAGGCAGAGCTTGCGGATGCGCAGCTCTCGCATGGGGTTCTCCTTTTCACCCTGGTCTTGCTGCGGAGAAACGACACCGGGGCTAACGCGGGGGGCGACCAGGAAAGAGTCCACCGCT